CTGTGAGGTGGTGGCTGCCACCATGTACCACCATGAATGGGTGTATTTTAGTGACTGTGTGTGTCCTTTTGGTATTTTTTTTCATTGTAAATTGTAACAAAAAATGGAATAATGGAAAGAAACTCAAAACCACCACCGTGAGGTGGTGGCTACCGCCTCCTGCTGCCACTAGCCGCCGTGTCGGGTGGCGGTGTGCCTCGTTCGTATTGTGACTCGTTTGGGATGTTGGACAAAGGGACTAAAAACCTAATAGGCCCAATGAAGCCCTAATTGACCTAAAAGCCCAAACATGTTACTATTGGGCCTAATGAACCCTAATTGATAAAAAAGACCTAGCTATTGGGCCTATTAGACTAAGATGGGGTTGGAAACCCTAATTAGGGTTTAGAAAACCCTAATATTGGATTTATGGGCTTGGTCTTATTGGGTTTATTGTTGGGCCTTTCTATTGGTCCTTGATGATTGGATTATGGGTGGGCCATCCAAGAATAATCATATGGACTAGAATATTTAGATGGGCTTTAGCGTAAGGCCCATATGTGAGGGTTTGGGGCCCAATTTGGAAAATTAGGCCATAGATGGGCCATAATTGGGCCTTCATGATTATGAGATGTTGGGCCATTAGAAATGCCAAATGTTTGGAATGGACTCAATAATTGGGACTTAGAATAAGACTATGTAAAGGTTTGGGTCCAATTTGGAAAATTAGGCCATATGTTGGGCTTTGATTCATAATTTAACTTTTGGGCCTTTGGATTGGGCCTTGAGTTGAATCAAGCTAAGATAGTGGTAAAGCAGTATTTTACCCCAAGCTTGGACTTATGATTTTTGTGTTGGAACCCAATTGTTAATTGGGTGACGTTTTGATATTGATAGTTCGGGAATCTGTCATCCAGCAGCCAGGTTTGTGTCTACAGGACTTCAACAGTGTAAGGTGAGTTACCCTCCATTATGGGTGGGTCTAAGACACCAATGCCGACCTTCCAGTAGGTGATTATGTTTGAGATGATTGTCTTTGTGATAATTATCTGGTTTCCACTATTTTGATATGTTTTATGTGTTGGGATGCTTTGAGATATGTGTTAGTAGTAGTAGGGATGAAGTAGTCCCCAGTTACCGGTTGAAAGATACCCAAGACAGTTACCGGTTGAAAGATACCGAAGGGGTAGACAGAACCCATTATGTTTATGTTATGTTATTATGTGACCAGCATAGTTATGATCTGCTATTATGTGATCAGTATGTTTTATGTTATGTTATCATGGAATCAATATGTTTATGACATGTTATTATGTGATAGTGGTAGGGGTGAAATAGTCCCTGGATACCAGTTGAAAGATACCGAAGGGGAGGTTGGCTCCTGGTTACTAGTTGAAAGATACCAAAGGGGAGGTGTTGCACCTGGTTCCTGGTATGTATTTCATCTAAGTACTTTTCACAATTTGGACTGAGATTCGGTGAGTTGATGGCCCAACTCGTCGAGTTGTAGCGGTTTGGACCCGGGGGTTAAGTAACGGACTCGTCGAGTCGACGGCAAGACTCGACGAGTAGACTCTGGCAGGGAAAACCCTAATATGAGGGTTTACACCCTATTTAAACGACCTTATACAGCCTCCATCGCCCCTTTATGCTACTAGAACGCTCCATACAGAACCCTAATCGTGTTGTGAAGATCTAAAGGCCTTTGTGGTGATTCTTAGTGGTTTGTGGTGACAAGAAGAAAGGAGAAGCTTGAGGAATACAGAAGTTGGCCAGAGGAGTCAAACTTGTGCATCATCTACAGTTCTTGGAAGGTATAAAGTCGACACCTTGCTCCTTCTTGCATTAGATCCCTTTTTAGGGAGATTCGGGGCTTTTATAAGCCATTCTTGGTGACCAACCGTGATTGCAAGCATGGTTGGGGGTTGAGGCTTCAGATCTAGGCTCCTTAAGGAGTTAGAAGGATGAAAGGGACTACCTTTGCACCCATGGAAAGCCCCATGCTACTCAAGAGCTTCTTTTAGGGTCTTTTTAGCTCATAGACCCATGCATGCAGGTAAAGTTCGTAACTTTTGCGTGCTAGATCGATCTTAGGAGCCTAGATCTATCATTTGGACAAGTGTTGTACATTAGAAATCGAGAAATGAGACTTGGACAACCACAACTCGGTGAGTTGTTCTTGGGACTTGGCGAGTCCGAGGCTTAACTCCCCTTTTCTGTTAGGGTTCAAAGGAATCCAGTTGAGTGTTAGAAGGGTTTTAGAGGGTCCAAGGGAGTAACTCAACATATTGGACTTAGCCATAGACATGGAGTTTATAGGACTCAACGAGTGCATGAGTAGACTCGGCGAGTCCAAGGCAATCTCCCAACTTTTGAAGATAAACTCGACGAGTTGTTCATACAACTCGACGAGTCAAGGACAGGACTTGTTTGAAGGATGAGGAAAAACTCGACGAGTTGTTCATACAACTCGGAAAGTCGAATGAAGGTTCATTCGAGGTTGTTTTAAAAGGAGAACTCGTCGAGACATTGCTAAACGCGACGAGTAGAAACGTGAATAAGTGCAGATTGAGGATGGGGACTCAACGAGTTGGAGGCCCAACTCGACGAGTCAGGTCAACTGGAAGTTGACTTTGAATTTGACTTTGACTTTGACTTGGTCAGGGGTAAAATAGTCATTTTACCCTAAGAACAGTTATCAGTGTCTGACTAAGTGTTTTATGGGAATTATAGCCGAAGGACCACCGGAGCAGCAGTTAGACATCTGCAGATCAGCTTTTCAGCAGTCGGCCTTACGAGGTAAGTTACCTTCCAGTAGCGGTGGGTCTATGTCCACAATATCAGCCCACCAGTAGGAGTTGTATGTTAGATGATTGTCTTCGTGATATCATCTAGGTTTGCTACTACCTGATAAGTTATATGTTGGTATCACACCCCCAAACCAAGGATGGCGCAAACGTCCGGGGGTGGAGGACTTCATGTATAGTATCACAACAGCGAGTATAATAGTGCTCAAGTAAATACAACCAATCATAAATATAATCCGGAAAGAATTACATGGTTTCAAGTATTACATAATTCAATGATTGATCGCGACATGATATAAAAATAGTTGTTCAACGCAGTAGCGTTCCATCCTCAAAAGCTTGTGGTAACTTGATTTCGTTGATTTCCTGAGAATACAAGTAATTTTGAAAAAGTGTCAACAATTAAGTTGGTGAGTTCATAAAGAGTTTGGAAACCGTTCTTTGTAATGTGTTGTGTGTTACCAAGAAAAATCCAATATTTTCCTTATAAAAGTTATGTGGTCCTAAATCCCAAGACCAAGAATAAACAAGTATTTTCCATACTTAATGATATAAAAGTGGTTTTAAATTGGCGTAAAACCCTTTCTAATTTGAGAAAAATCCCGTAATGAATGGTGTGTAGTCTTAAATACCAAGACCGAAAGTATACAATAATATCTGTGATCATTGATATAAAAAGTGATTTTAAATCGACATAAAACCCTTTTTGATTTATGAAAATCCCCGTAAACTTTATGTGTTGTTAACTCCCTATGTGAGCCGCTATAACCATACTATGACTGAATGAACCTGTCACGACGTTTCTCAGGCGTCGAAAACTGTTATGACATTTATCACCCATAGACCTGCAGGTCCTACTGTAGCTAGCAGCAAGGTGTGGGGTGTCAAACCCAATATAGATCTATACACAACTATCATGTTCTCCCTACAAGAGTCTCTAGTTATAACTACCAGGAATTTTAACCCGTACTCTAGGAGTATTGAGAAGAATATCTCACAATTTAAGTTAACAAGTTTACGTGTAGTGTGCGTGAGTGTAAAAAAACCTTTTTCTGTGGGAATAAAACCTTCCGAAATGTGTTTGTTGTGTTAATTGAAACATAAACCACACCTATTATAGTTTATCAAAACGTTTAAATGTAATAGTTATAACTTTGTTTATTATGGTGAACTAGTGTATTTGTGAAGGTAAAAACCCTTTTGTTTACCGATATGTATATATATCTTTTACTAAAGTGAAGCAACATGCAATATAACAACTAATTAATTACCATACTTTTGTAGGTAAAAATGCATTTGTTTTCTGATGTGTGACTATATACTAAGATAAAACGTCATCTATTTGCAAAAACATATATTCACATAATGATATACACCATGCTCAACATGTTACAAGGTGAAATGAAATGGATAGCATTTTTCTGTTGTTAACATTTTCTTTCACTGTTTTTATAAAATTTATAGAAAAATCATCAAAGGTCCAAATCAAAATCCATAAATTCTGAGAGTTTTGAAAAT